TGTAGGAACAGCAAATCTGGGATTGTGGTACCCCAAAGGCAGTACCATTGATCTTATTGGATACACAGATGCAGATTATGCTGGTTTCTTAGTTGATAGAAAGAGCACATCAGGTATGGCACACTTTCTTGGCTCTTGTCTAATTTCATGGGGTTCTAAAAAGCAAAATTCAGTGGCCCTATCCACAGCAGAGTCTGAATATATAGCTGCAGCTTCATGCTGTTCCCAGCTACTGTGGATAAGGAACCAGCTGAAAGATTTTGGTGTTATTTATAAAAGTGTTCCTATTTTTTGTGATAATACTAGTGCAATCAATATTTCAAAGAATCCTGTGCAACATTCCAAGACAAAACACATTGAAATAAGACACCATTTTTTAAGAGACAATGTGGAAAAAGGATTGGTGGAGATGTTGTTTTGTAAAAGTGAAGATCAAATTGCTGATATCTTCACAAAGCCTTTGTGTAGAGAGTCTTTTTGTAGGTTAAGAGTCCTTTTAGGTCTAGTTAGATTTTAGGTTTTGGCTTCAATTACTTCCTTCAATGATTGGTTAGAATGGTATTCTCTTGTATAGTGTGTGTACATACTTATGTTGATATCTTTCAAGTGTTGTGTAGATGGTTCAAAATCTCAAAAAGATTGAGAATCATTGTTGTAAGAAACAGGTGAAATCAGGCTGAATTGCCAGAAACAGCGTGACATGGTTCTATACAGGTACCAGCAAAGGGAAACAGCAGACCAGCTCTGATATGTCATCCGATAATATCTTTTATTTTCGGAAGATTACTATAAGATATTTCCTTTTGGAAGGAATTTATCTTATTTCAGTTATTTAATCCCATATAAAAGGCAAACATATCATATGCCTTATTTATAGTTGGTTGAGATAATTATGGTAAAAGATAATTACCAAATTTTTGATTTCAATTTAAAAATATCCTTTACAGTTGCTTTTTATTGGCTCAACTAACTCTTTTCTTTCCTTTTTCTCTCTTTGTGCTTCATTGTTAAAAATATACACTAACCCTTTGTGCAGATCATCAATCATCATCACTCGAAATTCTCTTTCTCTCTCTCGTATGCTTTAAATTCATCATTGTTCATTCGGTTACTGTTCACTCAAGGAACCAGCTCAGTCTCAGGGGGAACATCAGAAGGAAGCTCAAATGTCCTTAAGCCCGAAGTTGGAGGAAATTCAGAAAAGTCAGAGTGAAAAGGATGAAATAGAGGTTGTTGGTTATTATGAGGAGACACCCACTGCTAAGACCATGGTACGAAGTAGAGTAACTCAATTAAAGAAGTTCACTGAGAAGGTGCAGGAGGAACAGTCCATTGACGCTGTTCCAGGAACCAAGAGAAAAAGGGTACCAGCAAGAACCTCTTTGCTTGATTGATGTGATGCTAGTTTTGCACTCGTTATGCAACAAGGAGAACAGTTTTGCACTCGTTATGCAACAAGGAGAACATTCTGAATCAGTACATATCTCTCATGTTTTATAAAAAAAAAAAAAAAAAAAAAAAAAAAAAAAAAAAAAAAATAGAGGAACCAGCAGGTCAGGAAGTGGTTTTGAAACAGATTGGGGAATCACAAGAATATGCTTAGTAATATAATGATTTTGGTTTAAGCAGAGCATGGTGACAAAGATGAAGAGGAATCAGATGATAATACAGAAGATGTTGCAAAGTTTGAGGAGGAGGAAGGGAACGAGAATGATGATGAGGAGTGATGCTGTTTCTGTTCTTGTTTCCTCACCCTCATGTTTATTCTAAAATAACTGATTTTGTTGGTCTGTCTACTTCTCTCCATTCCATGAACTTTCTTTTTGGATGGATTTGGGCTTCTTTGGTTGAACTTTGTTGGCTTGTATGAACTACTAACTCTCCTATGGTATGAACTGTTTGGCTAATCTCTTTTTGCAGCATAATGCTTGAATGGTGGTTGATGCCATTGTATGGATAAGCACATTAACTTGTGCACATTGCTTTTACTTGTGGATACTTTTTAATGATGCCAAAAGGGGGAAGTAGTCTGAAGTTGAAGCCTAAGGTTTAGCTAGTTTAGATTGAGTCAGTTTGAGTCTTTTTATTTCGTATTTTCTATTTTCTGTTTAGGGAACCAGTTGGCCTAACTGACTTGTTCCAAAGAGTCTTGAGTCCTTGAAGTTTTTGACGGTTTTCCTTTTGAGCATGTTCACAGGTTCAGGAACTTCAAAAGTTTGTCATCATCAAAAAGGGGGAATTTGTTGAGTCCCTTAGGTTTTGATTGATAGTTTTGAATGATGACAAACAGCTAAGGGAAACAGGTCCTTGAAAGTGTTCGATACAGTTAGGGGAACCAGCTAACATAGAACACTGTTTCCCCAGACAAGTTATTACTTACATGAGTTTTCTTATTGAACTAACTTGTCTTTATACAGGGAACAGTTATATGGTAAAAGTGTTATGTACTGGTAGGGAACCAGTATGTACTGTTTCCATGGTTGCTACGTGGTACAGCAGTCACATACTCTTTATTGTGCATTAACCATGTTACATGTGCAGTAGTTGAGTTGATTCCAAGACTTGGAGCATAGAAGCCTTTCGAAGATATTTCGAAGAAAGATTGTTTGCTCATAATAGAAGTATTCAAGGAAGATTCAAGTCTTGAAGATTACATGAAGAAAAGACGATTTATGCTTTAATATGTTATCTAGGTTTTCATGTAATATGCTCCGTAGTATGCTTGCATGTTTGGGTTATATAAGTGCTTAAAAGTATATTGAAGTATGATATGAAATCTGGTACAAAGTTGGAACAGGTTTCATAACATGTTTCAATTCAGGGAACCAGGTTGGGGAACCAGGTTCACTGTACGAAATATTCGAGCTGCCGTTTTGGAAAAAGATTTTACAAAAAGATTTTTTTTCGAAAAGATTATTTTGAAAATATTTTGTGCAGCTGGAAATAAGATGAAATATTCTTGGTTACCTAAAAACTAGGAGTATTTATCTTAATTGATTCTATCTTTGTGATTAAATCAAATAAGATAAATACTTTCCTAAAATTACAATATATCTTATTCTCTAAGATTGTGTGATTTAAGGAAACTAGGTTTTAGGAATCTAAGCTTATATAAACTCATCTTATTTCACATATTTCGTGTGCCTCTCCAGAAATTAAAAGAGCAATTATTTGAGAGCATATACTTAAGCACTAATCCCATTCATCAAGTCATATACAAGAGCATTCTAGTACTTAAATATTTTCTCTTAATTAGCTTCGTAGAAGTGAGATCAAAGGGGAGTTCTTGATTCTTGTATTGAGTCTTTAACAAAGGGGTTAAAGGCTGGGTGAGTGTTTGTGAGTTCAAACACATTGGGCTTACGAGTGTAAGTCGAGAGCACACTCGGAGTAGAGTGTGGGGTTTGCTGGTTCCCGGAGTAGGGAACAGCAGAGTGTTCTTTGTCTTTGTTTTTCGGAGTAGATTAATAAAGAACTTAGGATAGGAGGACGTAGGCCTGAGTTGGCTGAACCTCGTTAAATTTGTTGTGTTCTTTATTGCTTTGTTTTATTTCGTTAAATTTGTTGTCTTCTTTATTGCTTATTTATATTCCGCTGCGTACGGGAACCAGCACAACTGGTTCCTCACACATAATCCGAAAAGAAGCAAAATTAGCCAACGATTACTTAACACTCAATTCACCCCCCCCCCCCCCTCTTGAGTGCCCATTGAACCTTCAAAGCCGACGAGAAAGGAATTCTAATATATATCAAAACTTACGGCAGCACAAATAGTTATAGGGTTAAAATACTTTATATACACTTAAAAATATAGTATCCTATTTAAATTAAAATAGGGTTTTAAAACCTTTCGGACTCTAAAATAAAAAAAAAATATATGAGATTAGGAAAGTTATTTAATAAATAAAAATAAACTATTGTTTAATAAAATATATTATATAAAATCATAAAATATTCGGGTATTACAACCTTTTTGTGACTTTTGAGGATGAAGCAACAATCTTCTTGTTTTCACTGAAATGTCAAACAATGTCAGTACATATTAATAAAATATAAGCTTCTTATATAACACTTTGTGTGCATTTTCAATTCATAAAATGAAAGATATTGATTTAACATAAACCACACATTCATATTACATATTCAACAAAATATTGTACACACATACAATAGTTTATGAAACTCCAGTTTCAAGTTACAACACGATAGTTACATAAGTTAAATTGTTCCATCTAGATAATTTATCCTTACTAATTACATAACCCTAATAGTAAGACATGTCTTCAAGATTTTACCCCTCCACTTTTTCATCATTTTTTGTTTTTTCAAAAACATCTTCCTTGTTTTGTTCTGCACCTCCACTTGTGTTTTTTGGATGATCACTTTTTTCACCAACATCTGACCTAGGGTCAGCATCAACCACTGAACCAGATCCTGCATCTAAGAAAAAATTCAATTAGATATGAATATTATTTCTTTGTAAATGAACATTTGACTCTTTATAATTGAACATTATAACAGTTCTAGGCAATCCTTCATTATTTGACCTAGTGTCAGCATCAAATTTTGAACCAGTTGCTGCATCTAACAAAAAAATACAATTAATAATGAATATTTCTTCTTTGTAAATGAAGATTTGACACTTTTTAATTGAACATTATACCAGTTCTAGAAAATTCTTCAATTCTTTGTTCTGAAGCTGCTGAAGTTTTACCCACATCCTTTTCTCCAGCTGTATTATAAATCATTATTATGGAGATACACTAAGTTAATAGTATTTACACATAATAATTAGAAATGAACATTTCTACTTAAGTTTATTTACATTATTATTAAATAAATGAACATATTACCATTTGTTGAAATTATTGGTTGTTCAGTTATATTACCAAGTGTTGAAGAGGTGGGCCCTGTTTTTGTTTTTTAAAATAAAGAAATTAGGACAATTTAGACCACAAATTGAGAAATTTTCATATCAAAATTAGGATAGTCTCTTTGAGTTAGAATTTACCATTGGCTGGAGAAGGTGGAGTCAACCCAAAGCTGAAAGCTTTTCTGATGTCATATTCTTGTTCTTTTTCCTTTCCTTTTTTGGTTAATTTCTTCCCAGTCATTTGCTTCTCAGTTGTTTGCTTTTCAGACCCTTGCATCAGATTCTTCTCAGCTTGTGCAAGTGCATTTAGGAAATCCTCACTGCCAAAGAATTCTTCATCTTGGCTTAGAATTGATGGTTCCCTAGCTACCACCTTTCCTAACACTTCATCAACTTTTTTCACCAAGTCATTTCCAGGGAAGATGTCCTTTGTCTTCACCAATTTTGAAGAAAGCTTTGACACGTTTGAACAAGTCGTGTTTACAAGGGAAACAAAATCATCCATGAAAACCTATATGAATGAATATTAAAAATTATGCAGGTGAACATTTAAGATGATACAAATGAACATTTATGTTAACAAAATTGATCATTGTATAACCTCGGGACTTTCTTCAACTTCTGCAGCAATCCTTGGCAGAATTTTTCCTCTCCCAAATCCCAATTCTAATTCAATCTTCAACCTCTCAAGAACCATGTCTTTATTCCATGCAGATATGATAGGAAATGTTCTTGGAGGCCTTTTGTCTAACCTCTGAACCCTATAAAAATAGAACAACTACAAGAAAAAAGAAAACATGGAACAGAACATAAACAATAAAAAAAAGTGCATTTATTTAAATTTAAATGAACATTTTGTATCTAAGAATATACCATCAGAAATTAAAGAGGGCCTTTGTAGAACCCCTTGCCTTGCTGCTTTCTCCAATCAACATGACATTTGATAAGTGAGTCATATACAAACTAACACCAATTCAAATTTTTTATTTTTTCTGTCCATTATAGAATAAAGAAATTTGAAATGGCATTGATTGTTTGATACACATTTCATCATGCAGTTCACAGCCACTGCTAAAAAGTTAGTAATGAAATGTTCACTTGGTGGTCTGTTGTTGGTGAATTTATCATTTACGGCTATTTCACCAAATGCCACTGACAAATTTAAAAATTCACCAAATGCCATCGGACTTTTCAGAATTCACCAAATGCCACTCAGTTTTTAAATAATTCACAGAGTGCCATTAATGACTAACGGCCGTTAACTCCGTTAGTCATTAGGGTCTAATCATGACACATGTCATGATATGATTAGTATATTTATTTTAATTCTTAAAAATTAAAAGAAAATAAAAAAATTAAATAAAAAAACAAAAAAAAAACCCAAATTTTCCCAGCCACCTTCCCACCTCCGCCAAACCCTAGCCCTCTCCCCATTTCTCGCCGGAAAACAGCCGACCACCCCCTTAACCACTAAAAACGGTCGATCGGCCCTTAAGCACTCCACCTGACCCACCGCCGACCCCCAAAACCACCCACACAACCTGCCCCAACCCCAAATGCCACCAACATTAGCTTTGATTTAAACACCCATAGTTTTCCAACCACCGCTCAAAACCTCTCCTCATATCCTCCACCCTTGAAACGATGAAATAGGCCATAGAAATCGACCATTGTAGATTTCCATGGTTGATTTCTATCGTTTGAGGGTGAAGGGTTTCCACAATCGGGTTCTATTTTGGATTTCTGGGTTTCCATGGTCGGTTGTGGTGGCTATGTGATGCGTCGTGTTGGTGCGTGAGGTGGTTGCGGAGGTTGGAGTGGGCATCAGCGCAAGGTCGTCGGGTAAACGGAGTTTTGTGGGTCAGAGTGTGGGTGCTGGAGTTATTGGGCATTGCGTGAGATGGTTGCGGTGGTTTTTCGAGGGATTAAGAGGAGTCGACGGTTTTGATGGGGTCAAGGGGTTCCAGCGGGACATCATGGGTTCCGGCGGGTTCTGACGGAAGGTTAGACGGTTCCGGTAGGAGGTTAAGGAGTTCCGGCGGTTGGCTTGGGCAGGTGGTTACAGTGGTGGGGTTGGGTTGGGTTAGGATTTAGAGTTTTTTTAATTTAATTTTATTTATATTTTTTAAACCAATAATCGATTGCCATGTGTCATGATTAAGCCTCTTAGTCATTAATGGCACTCGGTGAATTATTTAAAAACTGAGTGGTATTTGGTGAATTCTGAAAAGCCCGATGGCATTTGGTGAATTTTTAAATTTGTCAGTGGCATTTGGTGAAATTTCCGTATCATTTATGTATCCATTCACAATCTGCAAACAAAATGAACAAAAAATTTATACTTTTGATCATTTAATGTATTTAAAATGAACATTTAAAACTGATCATACCTGACTCACTGATGGAGTTTTTCCTGACCATGATTTTCTCCATTTCTTCAGAAATTCTGCATACTCCTCACTAATTTTATCAGACTTTGGCTCAACAGTTGGAATTTCTCCTGTAGGCAAGCCATAAACTACCCTCACATCCTCTACCTCAATTTCTATTTTTTCATTCTTTGGTAGTTCAAAACACTGGCTATTCTCTTCAAAACTTCCCAATAACCAATTACAGAACTTTTGATCAAGTTGAGGTAAACTAATGTCAAGAAGTGATCCTAACCCTATATCAACAACTTGTTGTTTTTGGGTAGGTGTCATCTTTTTTATCCATGCAATGAACTTCACATGTCCTCTTCTCTTTGAAGATTTCTCTTCCTCAAATTCATCTTCCTGTATTTCCTCAACTTCATCAGTTTCCATTGCTTGAACAATTTCAGTTTTCATTTTCTTTTTTTCCTACCTTCAATCTTTCCTTCATCATACAGTACCATCTTTTGCTCCCCCTTTTCAGCCTTTGGCTTCACTGAATTCCCTTTCTTTGCCTGTTTCTTCTTTGGCTTTACTTCTTCCTCTTCCTCCTCTTCCTCCACCTCATCATCATCCTCACTGACAGGCTCTACTTCTGCTTTGTAAACTGACTCTTCACTATCATCATCACTGTCAGTAGAACTTTCATCAGTAGGATCTTGAGATGGTTCATCTGATGGTACTTCTTGTATTTTTTTTCTCTTTCCAACATTTTTCTTGGCAGGACTGACATTTGAAATTTAAATTTATGATTTTGTTGAAGTATTGAAAATGTACAGTAAGCAAATGATAAAATGAACAAAATTGTTTTCTCAAATGATCATTCTATATATAGGAATTGAACATTTATAATATATCATTATATACCTGCTTTTCTTTTGCCAACAACCTTAGAAGTTTTCTTCACTTCTTCTGGAGTTTTCTTTTTTCCACCTATATATTGAAATTGAACATTAATGATATACCATCATAAATGATCATTCTATACATTAATATTAAACATTTACCCTTTTTGCCTTGGTCTTGTACAACTTTTTTAGCAGAAGCACCTGGCAATTTTTTGGTTGGAGTAGGTGCTGGAGGATATTCACCAGGAGCACCTGCCATCTTTCTGATTGGAGTAGGTGCTGGAGATGGTGCATCAGCTTCCTTTTGAATAGGAGAAGTCCTTGTAGACATTCTTCTCTTCATTCCTATTTTTGCGGTTTCTTCAGCAGGTTCAACATCCTTCTTCTGGCTTCCCTTTTCAGATTCATCTAACACAACATCTTTTTTTTAAAAAAAAAAATTATGTTAGTATATTTGAAAGTGTAATATTTATTGTTAAATAGAAAAGTATTATGATTACCTTGGCTCCTTGTAATTCTACCACTTGTCACAACAACAGGGCTTTTGTTTTTGTTTTTCCTTGCAACCATTTTGTATCTTGTTTTCATTTTGGTTGACTGATCACTTTTTTGTGATGATGGAGCTGTCTCCTCACTAAGTTTTGTGAAAACTTTATCATCATCTTGATCTAGAAGATGAGTTTCATCCTCAATTTGAAAAAGATCAGGTGCAATTTGTGCTGCATATGAAATGATCAAATATAAAAGATTAAATAAACATTTATGTAAATAGGATGACAAATGTTTACTATATACAATATAAATGAACATTTCAGATAATGAATATTACCTTTCTCTTTTGCAGTTGAATCTTCCATTACTTTAGACTTTTGTGTGTGTTGCTTTTGTCCATCTATGTAATTTTAATTAGTGAAATTTATTAATATTTTTGAACAATTATAATTATGAAGATTTAAAATGAACATTTTGTGTAAAAAATATGTACATTTTCCACTATTTACCTTTCAGATCTGTTGTCTTTGGAGACTCATCTTCCACAGTTTTCTCTTTAGGGATTTTCTCCTTTTCAGGCTCTTTTTTTCCCTCTTGTCCTTCTATGAAAATTTAATTAGTTAAAATTTATATTTTTTAATCTGATTGAACATTCAATATTATGTAGATCCAATATGAACATTTTATGTAATTAAAATGTACATTTAAAAATTTTTACCTTTTACATTTGTTGTCTTTGGAAAGACATCTTCCACAATTTTCTATTTAGGGATTTTCTCTTTTTTAGTCCCTTTTTTTCCCTCTTGTCCTTCTATTAAAATTTATTTAGTTAAAATTTAATTTTTTTTTAATCTTATTGAACATTTAATATTATGCAGATCCAATATGAACATTTTTTGTAATAAAAATGTACATTTTAAAATTTTTACCTTTTTCCACAGTTTTCTCTTCTACTGGCCCTTTTTCTTTCTTTTTTGCTTCACCTTCAAAATTAATAGTATTGTTAAAATTGATATTTATGACTATTAAACAAAAAATATTCAATAAATATGATCATTTACCTCTCCTGATTTCCTTGCTTGCCTTTTCCATTCTTTTGAGATTTCTCATAATTCTGATTATCGATTCTTTGTACTTCCTGTAAATGTATGATACTGTTATATAACTTTGAAATATATACATTAACTGATTATATTAATTCAATTATTTAAATTTAAACATACTTTGGGTTTCTCTCTATGTCTAAATATATTTCTTGCATCTTGTCCTTTAATGTTATTATTCTTGCATCATCTTTGGGTTTTCTGATAATTCATTAAAAATATGTTTGAATTTACAATTTTGATTAATAAATAAAAAAATGAACATAAAGTCTATAAAATATGAACATTTAACTTATATTACTATTGGCCATGAGCAAACTTTTTTGTACTGATTTGCAAATGAACATATAGTCTATCTAAATTGAACAAGTTTTCTTACTTTTGTCCAAGACTATTCTTTTCTAGATTGCTTTGCACTTTTGGTTGAACTTCTTCTTAGCTTGCTTGCTGAAATCAATATTAAGAAATACTTTAAATAAAAATGAAATAAATGGTACACAAAATAGATAGTTATAAAAAATGAAATGAACATTATATATTTATATCTTTGATCAACTTCATTTTTGTCCTTTTTCTCAGGAGTATTCTTGTCTGGATTGCTCTGCTCTTCTGGCTGAACTTGTTTTTGCCTGCTGAAATCAATTTTAAGAAATACTTTTAATAAAAAAAAATGCACATAAATTGTACACAAAATATACAATTATCAAAAATGAAATGAAAATTATTCATTAATACCTTTGATCTTCATCATGTTTGTCCTTTTCAGGTACAATTATATCCTGGTTTTGTTCTACATTCTTTTCACTGAATATTGTTTATATTCATTAATTAGAATTTGTATTATAATAAATGAAAAAAATTTGTATGTAAAATGAACATTTGTTTATATAAAAGTGATCATTAGTATACCTTTGATCCCTACTCTCTTTGTCAGTTGTGTTATGTGTAGCAGACACACTCTTAGTTGTTGCATGAGTAGCAGGAATGTTCTCACTTTGTTCACTTAAAAAAACAGAATTATTTTATATAATATGATATTAAATTATGAACTAATTTATACAATGAAGATGATAATTAGTTATTTTGGTATAAAGCTTTTATACCTTATTGTTTGATTTGTCTCTAGTGGTCTTGATTTTGACATAACAAATTTCACTCGAACCTTTTTTTTTCACTAAAATTTTAAGAATTATCTAATAAGTTTGGTATATATATACAATGTAAAATAATTGAATGTAAAAATAATTATTTTATACACATAAACTTACTTGTTTAAAGTGTATCTTTGATAACTATTACCATATTCATTTTGTTCTATAACCTTCTTTAGAGTTAATGGTTAAGATTTTCCATCTCTAAATTGAAGCAAGTGTATCACTCTAAATGGCACATCACTACATTATAAATTAATTACATGACATTAGTTTGAATGCATATCACTGAAATGATTATTATCATATTTATATATGTGCATGATGTTTTAATGAAATGTACATTTGTTATTTAATTCTCAATGAATACTCAAATGAACAAATATACATATATGATCATAATTATATCTATAAATGAACATTATGAGTATCAAATATGATCATATACAATGATGTTTCAATGAAATGTACTTTTGCTCTTAAATCTCAATGAATACTCAAATGAACAAGTATAAATATATGATCATAACTATAGCTATAAATGAACATTATGAGTATCAAATATGATCATATACAAATAACATATTAAACAAAGATAAAAACCAATTTTTATCAAATACAACTAGCATATTAGAAATGAACACAATATATTCTGTAAATGACTAATTACCTTGGTAATGGAGACATTTTTAAATCCGTACCAATTGACTTGTCAATATCTTTTAAAAGTTCAGGATCTACAATTGGATCATTTCGGCGGTTTTTTTTCAATTTTTCTACTCTTGACTGAAGAGGTACATCATCATCATCGTCGTCTCTGTTTTATTTAATAGATTGTTAATGTTTTAATTGATTTGTTAATTTTCAGTAAAATCTTACTACAATCGCAATAATATGAACAAAAATTAGGGTTCATACATAAAATTGAACAAAAATTAGGATTCATACATTTCTTCAGGATTTGTCACTGATTTACTCGTCTCTGAAGTGTTCTTCTCCAAAGAGATACTACAATTGCGAAAAATTGAACAAAAATTAGGTTTTACATATAAATTCGCTCTATAATTTTCATCGCAAGAAAATGAACACAATTACTTACTCTTTGGTAACATTTTACTCCGATTTTCCAGTTTCGTCTTGCATGTTCTTCTCTAAAGCGTTTTTTTTTTTCCAAAATCACTCTACAATCACAAGAAAAAGAACCAAAATTAAGCTTCATACAAAAATTGTACTAAAATCGTAAGTAAATGAACAAAATTACTTACTCTTTATCAAAATGTTGTTGCGATTATTTAATTTCATCTCGAATATCAGACATTTGAAGCAATTATGAAGTGTTTTGAAGCAATTTTGCAATAATTTAAAGGGAATTTCGTTCCGATTCGACGGTGTTGATGAGAGAGAAACTCTAGAGAAATGAAGAAGATGGTTTTTAGAGAGAGAAAATGATTTGAAATGGATAGGTTTTTTTTAATATATATATATGTGGGGTAGGGGAAGTTATTTTCTAATTTACAGCAGTTACTGCGGTTAGTGGGGGTGAGTGGGGGTAGTTACTGTTGTTTGTGGGGGAAGGGGAAAAACGCAAAACGCTGCGTTTTGTAGGGGGTGTAGGTTATGGTACCTACACTAGGGTCTAGTATATACCAATTAAAAATAAGGTGATTGAGTTTGTTATAAAGATGGGCTACAATTGGATTAAAGACTTATTGACCCAAGTGTTAATACTTGTGTTTTATTTATAATCCAATAATTAAAATAGTTTAACCCAAAATATATTTATAATTAAATAAATGATATATAAAATACATTTATTTTATAATTAAATAAATAATATATAAAAATACATTAAAAATACGGGATATTACACATATGTACCTAATGAACTGTATACTGACATTTAACTACATACAGGGCCTGATTGAAGCTATTGCATTGGTGGCTTCAAAAGCAGAAGTGAGGTTTTGTGTCAGACACATCTGGGCTAATTTTAAGCTCAAATTCCATGGTGATACATTCAAGGAGCTGTTTCGGAAGGCAGTCAGGTCAACAAACAAGGTAAAGGATTGGTTTTGTGCATTTTTAAAATTGTCTTGTTCCATGATAAGTAATGTTTGTGTTGTTAAGTGGGATTTAACTTTGTAATTGTTTGTGTAACACCCCCAAATCTCCCTCTACGGAAATACCAGTATAATACGTATAATTATACCGTAAAGATAGACTTGGTCGTATTACCGCCGCGTGATTACGCAAGGCTACTCAAAATACTTAGCTTAATAACAAACTTGCAGCGGAAACTCAACTTTCTTTTACTAATACTTATAAAAATAATAACATTGTTATGAGTACTCAAAATAAAGACAAGACCAACATTCCTAAACTAGGTGAAGCAAATCTCGGGACTCCCATATGCTCATTAATGAATCCACCTGAAAATAGTCAACACTGCTTACCATTATGGTAAACAGGGCGAACCAAAACAAATACGAAATATGGATTAGCAAAATATGCTAAGTACGATAAGTGCAAGATAATGTAAACTCAATTTATTTGTAAACATGATTTTAAAATCAATTCCAATAATTAATCCAATAATTCCAACTCATGATTCAAAACCGATTCTCAATATTCCAATATCAATAATCAATAAAACCAAAATACCAATTATTTTATAAACCAATTCCTCATATAAAAAACCAATTCCTCATAATAAACCAATAAAACCAATGAAACCAATTAAATCAATTCCTCTTCCAAGTGTGCACACCCCCCAAGCTAGTCTCCTTATGTTACAAGGCTATTCCCGGTCATACAAAGTCCAAGACCTTATCAATAAACCAAATCCACATAGTGGGATTACTAACATGCTTATAAAGCATAAATAATAAATCAATGATTCAATAAATCCTCTTTTAAATCCAATAATTAAACCTTTAATGATAACAATCCAAACTCCATTATAATAAATCCAACATGCTTTCAAAATCAAACCTTGTAAATAAATACTTGAGAATAAAATCTCATATTAATAACTTTTCAAAATCAACAACTCTTCCTTGAAAAACCTTTATTTAATTCAACAAACCTTTTAAAATAAATTCCTTTGTTTAAACACGATAAGTAATCCAAACCGTTCAAAACATGATTTAAAAATTAATCATTCAAAATAATTTTATTAAAATCAATACCTTCAAACATAATTTATTTCAAAATTATAATTCAAATCAATTTAATTCAATCACCAATCAAATCATGTAAAACATGTTAGTCAAACCAATCACTTTCAAAGGTATCTAGCCACCTAAACGTACCTTGATCCTTGCTAGAAAAACCACACAAAAAGAACCTCAAGAACATTGATCGAACACACCCTACAAATAAATATAACCTTAATCAATATAAGGTTAACAAATAATTAAAAACCCCCATCTATATGTACATGAACCTTTTAAATTAATTTCTCATAAACATCATTAAAAATCTGATTTTATATAATTAAAACTACTCATAATAATTATTTATAAATCCCCCATAATAATAATAATAATAATAATAATAATAATAATAATAATAATAATAATAATAATAATAATAATAATAATTGAATAACAGAAGAGAAGAAGAAAAGATAAGAAACCAAGGAAAAGAGAAAATTTGGATTTGCATTGGAAAGAATAGGCAGAACTTGCAGAGGCTATAACTCCTTCGATATAACTCCGAATTGAGTGATTCTTGAGCCTAAACTCCAAAATGTTTTCAGAGGAACAATCTTCTTTGAAACAACAATACCCCAAAAACTGACCAGAAGTGCCCAAAAATTGGCTTCAAAGATAAACGGGATGATTTGTGTAAAAAGAGGAGAAGAAAAGAAGAGAATTGGTGTGAAGAATGTGAGAGGTATGGAGGGGTATTTATAGGCTAGCTCATGCAAGAATTATGACAAAATAATTTGGGAAGAATCATGACAAGTATGGTTTATGGGATTATTTGAAGAAGTGAGTAAAAGAATTAAGGAAAGTTTGGATATTAAGGTGATTGTGTATACTTGAATATGGAAGGTATTTATGTCATGAAAAATAATAAGGAAATTAGAATTACTTGGGGAATAATTAATAAGAATGAATGGAAAGAAAATATGATGATTAGATATTAAAAAGATGGAGAATTAGAATTAAGGAAAATAAGAGATTTTGGGAGATAATAAAAAATATAATTTTACTAATTAAATTCCCCCAAAATAATTCAATAGGGCCGAAATATTAATCTTACCATAGCTCAAATTTTCGGACTCTTATAAATATATTTATGAATATTTTTCTTGGTTTTAAGGAATAAAATAATTATATAAATAATATAGAATAATTAATTAATTAATTAATCAATTAATTAATTAAATATCAATTATTTACCAATAAATAATCAAGAAAAATCAGATTTTCCATACATGTAAAATTCAAAAATCCTAGCTAATTATTGGAAAATTTCGGCCATAATAAAATAATTAATAAATATTATTTTGCTTTAATTAAAATATCCGAAATATGTAAATAATTCGGTTTTTAAAATAGGATAAAGGGATAATAAATCTTATCCAAAGTAATGATTAGTTTTCAAAATGCTTTTGGCGTCAAAATTCAAATATTATTTTGGCTCCAAATAATAAATACCCTTTTTATAAAATACTTCTTAATTAATTAATTAGAAAATACGTATGAAAATACGGGGTATTACAGTTTGGGTCAGGCTGATTTTGATGCTCAATTGGAATGCATAAGACTGTTAGATCAGGATGCATTCAACTACCTACATGCTATCCCACCACAACATTAAGCAAGGCATGCTTTTAGCACTTTCAGTAAGTCTAACATGTTGCTAAATAACCTTTGTGAGACCTTCAATGCTATGATCAGAGATGCTAGAGATAAGCATGCGATAACATGTCGTGAATGGATCAAAAAGTATGTGATGCAAAGAACACGGAGAAGTGGGAGAAAGTTCAAGCTCAGGAAGGGAGGTTTATGCCTTATGTGAATGAGGTGTTTAAATGGATTTCATGATATGCAGCTAAGTGCACTGTTGTGCCATCTAGGTTAGATGTTTGGGAGGTTGATTTTGACTGTGATAGGTTTGTAGTCAACCTAAATGATAATACATGCACATGCTTTCACTGGGAGTTGACAGGTATTTCTTATCCTCATGCATGGGCATGTATTGTGAAAAAAAGACTCAAGCGTGAAGATTATGTCCATGAGTGCTACACAAAGCAAACATATTCGGAAGCTTATACCCAAAAAATCAAACCCATGCCTAGAATGAAGCAGTGGGAGAGATCCAAAATGGTTCAGCCCTTGCCACCTTTAATGAAGAAAATGCCAGGCAGACCATCCTAAAAAAAAGAGAAGAAAGGTGCTAGGAGAGGGAGAAGAGTCAAGGTTCATCAAGAGGGCAAAAAGACAGAACAAATGCTCTAACTGTGGAGTTACTGGCCATTACAAAAATAAATGCAAAAACCCTCCAAAATAACCATCACTTGACAAAGGTGGAAGGCCCTTTTCAATTGATGCTTAGATTGTCTGAAGAAGGAAGAACAAAAGGGATAGAGTTTTGAGACAGGGAGTGAGTACTTAAGGTATTTGTTTAATAAAGTTATACATTTGGTCTTGAATATGATTTTTATGTATTCCTCTGCTGATGCAGGATCTACTAGCCCCAATGACTCAAGCCATGGATCCCCAATGCAATCAGGAAGGGTCTTCCAATATCACTGTTGATCAAGCACAACATTCATACCAGGCTTTGACAAA